GTCGAGACCCCCCCAACCACTGCCCCCCAGCCAACTGGATCCCCCTGTGACTCTGCCAGCCACTGCCCGCCCACCCAGCGGGACCCCCCTCCCAGTGTGACCCCCCAGTCACTGCCTCCCCTCCCCTGCACTGGGATCTCCGCACTGGGACCACCCCCACCCAGCGGGACCCCCCCAGTCACTGCCCGCCCACCCAGTGGGACCCCCCCCGTGACAGTCACTGCCTCCCCCGCCCCCTCACTGGGATCCCCACACTGGGACCACCCCACCCAGAGGGACCCCCCCAGTCACTGCCCCCCCTGCAGTGGGACCCCCGCACTGTGCCCCCACACCCTGTGTTTTGCCCCAGCCACAGTGACCTCTGCTGCACACGCCTAGTGCGCCGCCTGTGCTGCTGACTCCCCCGTCACTGACCCACCCCTCAATGCTTGCCCCCAGTCACTGCCCCAGTGACCTTCCCTCACTCTGTAGGCTGCCCCATCACCATTCCCACCCACTGCACACACCCAGTGTGTCCCACCCCCACTGCAGCTCCCCCCGTCACCTCCCCCCCCAACTATTCCACTGTGCCTGATTCTGGGCTTGTCTACATGTAAAACGCTGCAGGGGTGCAGCTGCGCCGCTGTAGCGCTTCAGTGTAGACACTACCTGTGCCCAGGGGCGGGATTCTTTCCTCGCTGTTGTTAATCCACCTCCCTGAGAGGCCGGAGCTGTCTACACAGGGACTTAGGTGGGCTTAACTACGCCGCTCAGGGGTGTGGATATTTCACACCTCTGACCCATGTAGCTAAACCAACCTAATTTCTGGTCTAGACCAGGCTCCAGTGTAGACACTACGGCCAAGTCTACACTGCAGACCTATATCGGTATAACTACCTCGCTCAGAGGTGTGAAAAATCCACACCCCTGAGTGATGTAATTATACCGACCGTAACCCCCGGTGTAGACAGCGCTATGTCGGCGGGAGAGCGTCTCTCTCCTACACAGCTACCGTCTCTCTCGGAGGTGGATTAACTACACCGACAGGCGCGCTCTCCCATTGGCACAGAGCGGCTTCACTACAGCCGCGCAGCTGCCGCGTTGCAGCGTAGACCTGCCCTGAGAGCCCCTAGTTCTACCCATGTACATTTCTAGCGTAGACCGGGCCTGAGTCCCCAGCGCAGGAGCTAAGCAAAGCCAGCTGGTTCTGAAGAATTCGTGTAAACAGTAAAGGAAGTGTACCCTTGTGGACCCCAGCCCAGGGCCCTGTGCAGGCAATACAGCCTGAGACAATGGCTCTGGGTGTGTGGGCTGCCCCGTGCCCTCAGCAGCCAGAGCCGTATGTCAGGTCTCCAGGAAGGAGGGAATGTTGCATGGTGGATGGGGGCGCCGTGAGAGGTTGTGGGGCTTAGCAGGGGCTTTGTTATTGGGACACTGGGTCCTACTTGTAAATTGTAATGTTTTTATTGCTTTTGTTCAGGTTCCCAGAGCATGAAAGGGGCACATTCTTTAGCACTTTCAATAAATAACCCCCTAGCTCTCCAGTCATCCACAGAGCGTTCCAGGAGACCCAGGGCCCGAGAAGACCCAAACACAACCTCAGTGTGAACCGGTCTGTGTTATGCTTCGTTATAAAAGCAGAGACAAGCACAAGCCCATGTTTCTCTGTCTGGGTTAGCAGTGGAAGCCAGGCAGGGTGGGCTGTTGATCAGACTTCAGTGCTGTGAACAATGTGGATATTTAAATAGTCCCCAGACAGGCTTCCTGCTGAACACCCTGCCATGAGTGGGGATAGCTCACACCTATCTTAGAGCTGCCTTGTGAACGCCTGGCCCCACTGAAGTCAGTGCAAAACTTCCTCTGTCTTCGGGTACGTCTATACTTACCTCCGGGTTCGGCGGTAAGCAATCGATCTTCTGGGATCGACTTATTGCGTCTTGTCTAGACGCGATAAATCGATCCCGGAAGTGCTCGCCGTCGATGCCGGTACGCCTGCTCCGCGAGAGGAGTACGCGGAGTCGACGGGGGAGCCTGCCTGCCGCGTGTGGACCCGTGGTAAGTACCTTGTAGTTCGAACTAAGATACTTCGACTTCAGCTACGTTATTCACGTAGCTGAAGTTGCGTATCTTAGTTCGAACTGGGGGGTTAGTGTGGACCAGCCCTTTAGTAGAATCCGGATGTCACCCATTGTTTCGGGCTGACTGCAGGGACCCTTGGCTGTAGTGGTGCATAGCGTCCATTCAGCATCCTCCTCCCCCCGCCCTGTGTGGACTTCATTTATCACTCACGTTAGTGACGTTTTCCTTTTGCACCCTGACTTGTGGTAAACTCTCTGGGGGCTTCCGGCCAATTCCTGCAACCACTTGGCGATTTTGCCACTGATTTCAGTGGGACCAGGAACTGCTCATCGGCCCGATTCTGATCTAGGTTACAGCCGTGTAACGTCGCTGGCTTCAGCGCAGGTTCTCAGTATTTACACCTGTACAAAAGCGATCTAGGAGCTGGTAAAGCACAGAATCGGGCTGCTCGAATGCCCCAGCCCAGCGTTTCCATAGCGGTGGGTGCTGCCGTGCACACGGATAGCTACGGACAAAGGCTGAACAAGAATAATTCCTCTTCGGCCGGTTTGGTAGGTGCATTACCCTCCTCCTGCACACCTGACTGGGAGCTAACCCTGACTAGACCAGGACACACATTCTGTTAGCCTCCGATGCTGCCATGTACATCACCGCTGAATCTGGCCCAAACACTCCGATGGGGGTTGAACCTACTTGCTCCAGGCTGCATTCGGTGCTGATGTTACATGATTTTCCCCCATAGACTCCAAGTCCAGAAGGGACCACTGTGATCCTCCAGTCTGGCCGAGTTACCCAGGAATGGATAACCCCCCTGGAGATATTTGCTGTGGGTTATCGCTGTGAATCAGAGCTAGGGCTGACATGGGGCTTGGACCCTGTGATAGCCTCTGCACCGGGGTGAATTTCCCCCCTAGAAAGCCCTTTTGCTGGGAGTCGGGGCTGCAGGCAGTGCTGAACGTGGAATACTTGTGATTGCAGGTGCCGGTGGTATTTGATGACGTCGCTGTCTATTTCTCCCGGGAAGAGTGGGACATGTTTGCGGAGTGGCAGAAGGAGCTGTACAGGGAGGTGATGACGGAGAACTATGAAATGCTGCTTTCTTTGGGTAAAGAGCTGTTTTTGTTCGTTTGCTAGACGTGTGTGGGCTCTTTGTTTTGGGGCTTCCGTTAGCACGTTTGATCTGGGTTCAGAATCCCAGCCACCCCCAGGAAAGCAAGGGGCTGATTTAAAACCATTGAAAGTCTGTGTAATGAGCACTTTGGCATGATGGTGGGTTCTCCAGCTCTGCTTCACACTTGCAGGGATGACCAGCTTCTCAAGCTGCGGAGGTCGTTCAGGTGACTCATTCAAGGTGTTATGACAGCTGCTGTTGTTTTCTCTCTCCAGATGTCACAGTCATCTCCCTAGGTGAGGTTTAAAAAAAACCAGACAATAGGCTGCTTGACAGGGACAAGACAAACAAGGCGCTCTCACTGGCCAGTCACTTCACAACCGTGCGAGGGTTTGTGGTTAAGCCTAACTATTTAGCCATTGCAGTTACCCAGCCTACGTCTCTGTGTGTGAAACACAAAAGCAGCATTTGCTGTTTGATGTGTTATAGGCTGAGGCCTGAGTTATGTCAAAGATTCTGGCCTATGCCTGGATGTCTATTATGCTATTAATAACCTCCATATTTTCTGTGTCGTATCTGCACATTTTGAAAGTCGGCACTAAACTGGCTTTTCTGCCATCTCGTTACCTGTCCATCTGCTCATGACTCTTCAAAATCAATGGCCAGTAAATTGGCTAGCTAATTCCCTTAGTACCCTAGGGTGCCATCCCACCCATACAGGCTGATCTAGATAGGTATATATTTTCCAAGTGTTTTCTCACCAGTTCTAGATCAATGGTTATTTTTACTGGGTCTCCCGTCCTTAGAGGTTGTTCAGATTTCTTGATTTTTCTTCTTGAAGAACGATTTCCAAAAGGAGTGAGTACCGTGGCCATTTTGGTTTCCTTTACCGATTGTTCCCCCTTGTACTTTTTTCCATGACACACTTGTAAAAGCTGTTATTTTCACCGTTGCCCTTTGTCTGGCATTAATTCATTTGGCCTCTTTACTGCCCTTATGTTTTCTCTGCACTTTGCATTTTCTGTTCAGCTGCCTCCTCACTCTGTTTCTAGCACAGACCCTTGCACCCGGGAACAGTCCCTCCTGAAGGAAGCTATGCCCGCTATTTCTTTCTTACATTATTCTTTTCAGAGGAACTGTCCTCTGTTTTGCCTTAATTATCTTGTCGTCTTTCGCACTGGCTCACATCTGTCCTTCCTTCCGCTGCCCCTCGCTTGTTAAGAATCTAATCCTGTCGTCCTTTCTCATGAGTCATCTCTACCCATGTGAATCATCCTGCAAAAGAGTGCTGCATTCTGGATTTGCTCCAGAGCTGCTTGAAGTCAACAGTAAGACGCCCATTGGCTTCAGTTGGCTTTGGATAAGGCCCCGTGTGAATCTATCCAACTGTCAGGGTTCCCTCCCCACTCTGAACTCTGGGGTACAGATGTGGGGACCCGCATGAAAAACCCCCTAAGCTTATTTCTACCAGCTTAGGTTTAAAACTTCTCCAAGGCACAAATTCCTTTCTTGCCCTTGGTATCACTGCCACCACCAAGTGATTTAAACAAACATTCAGGGAGGGCTACTTGGAGCCCTGCCTCCCCCAAAATATCCCCCCAAACTCCTACATACACCCCCTTTCCTGGGGAGGCTTGAGAATAATATCCTAACCAATTGGTTACAAAGTGAGCACAGATCAAACCCTTGGGTTTTTAGGACACTAAAAACCCAATCAGATTCTTAAAAAACTGAGCTTCTTAACCCTTTACAGGTAAAGAGGGATTTTAGGCTACCCTTAGCTGTATGTTTATGACAAGGATAAACATGGTTGTAAAGGATAAATTCAGGCATTTTATGGTGGTATGTTTCAAGCCTTCCTGTTACATTCAGTCAGTTCCTCCTTAGAATTAGGAAGCAGACCCAGGATGGCCTCTCCTGTTTGGTTGGAATCTCTACAGCCAGGATCAAAAGCTGCCTTATCCAGAAGACCTCTTTGAGGATGATTGCTTGGCTGTATTTATTACGCAGCAGATATTTGGGTAATTCAGATCCCCCACAAGTACAGCGGTGTGTGGACTGGGGCTTGGTGCAGGAATTTTTTCTCTTTCTCTCATCCCCCGGTCGTGGTGACCTGTAGAAGATGCCCCTTACTTCATATCCCTTATGCCCTAACCCCGAGAATTTCTCCACCACCCTCCTTGTAGTCACATGGCAGCTCCCTGTCCCTTTTGTCACATACTGTAATGCTTCTCCCACCTCTAACGCAGTGAAGACTCGTTGGTGCACACGCAGACCAAGGAGTGACTACAGTTCTGTGAGACACACCACATAACGCTACTTATTATGGGCCAGCCCTTTCTGAGCCAGACTTACAACAGACCCCCAGTGGCTCTTGCCAGCTCCCAGAGCCTGAGGGACAAAGTATTGGCATGGCTCAGCAACCGGCAAGGAGTTGGAAATCCAAGAGTGGGATTCAATGGTCCATTTTCATCATGACAGAAGGTAACCGTTGGGGCCGGGAGGTTCTCTAACAGGTCCTGTGGTGTTCACTGCTCTGGAAAGGGAGATACGCAGATGGCACAGGGCTACGTTACTGAAGACCAGAGAGGGCTGTGAGGACCTGAGGGCCATGTCTGCATAGGGACAATCAGAATAGCAAAGGTGGATCCTGTCAGGTTGTCTGGAGTGGCTCATGAACGTGGGTGCCAACCTCAGGGCAGACTGGCGTGTGTTCAATACTTAGATTTCACCCCTCAAGTGACAAGTGTGAACGCCTCAAGGACTATCACAGCCTTAGCATGGAGTCACCGACAATCCCCTTGGCCACGTTGTCTATCTGGCCACCCAGGCAAGTCTGCCTTTGTGATAGGTGGTCCCTTACACCAAAACTCACACCAATATTCAGGTTACTCCCAGTCCTGAAGGTCAAGTTGTCCAAAGACAACACTTGAAGCCACTCCTGTAATTAACTAAAGGTTTATTAGCTAGGGGAAAGAAATAAGAGAGTTATTTACAAGGTTAAGGCAGGTAAACAGACAAACACAAATGAGTTATAGTTTTAAGTTCAAAAGGTAAGAGAAGCTTCTATAATAAGCAAGCTCTATATGTCCTTTAGGGCTAACCCAACCTGAGCAGTTGGGGATCTTTGCCTCTCTGAGTCCAAACAGCATAAATATAAAGTTCCTTCTGGTCTAGCATTTTTGTTACCTTCCCCTAGAATTCCCATTGATGGGTTGAGCGTATGTGCATGTTTCCTCTTTGTGGGTATGGGGGGAGCAATCAATAGTCTTCTGTCCACTGATATTACACATGGGCTTGTCTGATGTCCACAGAGCTTCTTTTGTTGGGCAGGAGAGAGACCTCTTGTGGTGAACTATCATTTCATACTCGGTAATGCCCCTCTCCTGACTGGGAGGGTTTCCAGTTTCATAGCAAACACTTTTATAGCTACAGAGCAAATATTTAAATATTACCTTATAACATAGGATACAGACGGTATAAGTGAGATTTATACATGTAGCATCTTAGAAGCATTTCATAAAGTCTAAACACATTCTTATCACTCTAATATCTATTTTAACAATACTAACACACTGGTGAGTCAAACTGGTTTCCAGGTATGCATTAGTCAGTATTCACTGAGGCAGAGGGGCCTTGGCATGAGCTGGCACCCACTCTGCCAGCGTCACAGATCCACCAAGGGTGTGACGTCAATGGGCATAAATGAAAGCACATTCAACTCCCATATGGATGGTCTCACTCAGGAGCAAAGGGGCTTTAGTTCATTGTAATTTAAGCTGGAGGAGGAGTAAATTCCAGCAAACTAAGGTCTGGTCTACACTAAAAAGTTAGTTTGATCCAGCTACTCAGGTACACCCCGAGCGATGGATTTACGCCAATCTAACCCTGTGTAGACAGCGCTAGGTTGATGGAAAAACTCTTCCGTTGACCTAGCTGCCTGCGTCTTGGCTAGGTGGATTACCTATGCCAATGGGAGACCTCCTCCTGTCGGCGCAGGTGGCGTCTACACTGATGGGCAGCAATGGTGCATTTCAAGTGTAGACGAGCCCTTTGTCACTTTCCCGAGTGTCCCTGGGCAGACGCTTGCTCGGAGAGATCTAAACAAGCCAGGTGAATGGGCAGCGCTGCAGCAAATGATGTTTGGTGTCGATAAATGCAGGATCTGCACACTCTCCTGCAGCACGTAGGGGCACAGAGAGGTGTGATGTGGCCCTTTCATCTCACTGGATGTGCGTCAGTTAAAAGGAACACTTCAAGGTGATAAACGTATTGTTTCTTCTGTGTCATTTCCACAGCTTTCAGTCTGTTCCTATCCACCCTCTGAGGGCTTGGCTACACTTGCAAGATAGAGCGCATTAAAGCAGCCCCAGGCGCCCTAACTCCCGACCCGTCCACACTGGCAAGGCACGTAGAGCGCCTGGACTCTGCAGCTGGAGCGCTCCTGGGAATCCACCTCCACGAGAAGCATAACGCTTGCTGCGCCCCGGCTGAAACGCCCGGGCGTCAGTGTGGACGAGGTGTTGCATTACTGCGCTGTGATTAGCCTCCGGAAATGTCCCATAATCCCCTGAAGTCAAGTGGCCACTCTGGTCATTGTTTTGAACTCGGCTGCAGGCATGTGGATATCCCCTTTCAAAGCTCCGTTTCTGACAGCCGGCTGCTTATCTGCTCCAAGACAAAGCAACCATTAGTGTGGAATGCTGCTGCCGTGAGTGTGTGTGAGGGGGGGTCTGCTGCTATCTGAACTTACAAGACAGCATACTGACATGCTCTCAGCCCCCCAAAACCCCACTCTCCCCCCCCACATACACACAACACACTCCCTGTCACCCCCCCGTTTGAAAAGCACGCTGCAGCCACTTGCATGCTGGGATAGCTACCACAATGCACTGCTCTTTGTGGCGTTGCAAGAGCTGCTAATGTGGCCACGCCACAGCACTTGCAGCTGAGAGTCTAAACACACGGCAGCGTTTTCCCTGCTGCAGTCCCTGAGGGCTGGTTTAACTCCCAGCGCTCTACATCTGCAAGTGTAGCCAAACCCTTAGTCCATGTCCATTTCAGAACTGGAACACTCCTAAGGGGTTTTACACCGGTTGTTCGGATGATGACAAACTGTTCACTGAAATCAAGACAAAACTATTCATACGATACCAAGCCCTGACCGCCCCATGTCTCTTCCCACTCACAGGCTACCCGGGCCCCAAGCCTGACCTCTTATATCGGCTGGAGCGTGGGGAAGAGCCGTGGGTCCACACCCCGCAGGGCCCTGTGGCGTGGGAGAGCCCCTCTCCGGGTGAGTAGCAGTAATCCCAGCTCCCTCAGCGCTGCTCTCGCTCTGCAGTGAGGCGCTGGACTCAGAATCGTAGAACCACATAGTTAGACGGGACTGTAAGGGTCAGAGTCCAGTGACCCTGTCCCAGGCTGCTGTCCTGGCTTCCTCCAGCACACGTGTCATGTCTGGGCATGTCCCATCTGCCTCCCCTCCCCTGTCCCAAGCCCCTCGCCCCTCAGTCTCCTTGTGGGAGTGAAATTTCAGTGAGAATTATCAGCTGACCTGGCACGCTCTCCTGTTTCGGGCTCTGCTGGGGAGGTGGGCTGTTAGTCAGGGGCGCTGGCTCTTTCACCCCCACATCTATGCTGGACACGTCCAGTGTTTGCTCCTCCCAAGTGGGATCATCCTCCCGCACGGCCGCCCCAGGCAGAGCCGTCAGCACTGTGCTGACAGGGCAACGTACAGACCCATATGCTGGGGAAGGGACGTGGGGCTGCCTCGGTCAGGCCCCACTGCAGGGGGTCTGAGTGTTTCCCTGGCCTAGGACGTAGCATCTGGGTTATGTTCCCTCCAGCAGAGGAGGAGGAGCAGCGCTGTGAGCCGTGGGTCAGCCCCCAGCAGGACTCCATGGTGTGGGAGCTTCCGGAGAGTCCCTGCCGAGGTGAGTAATGCCCAGCCCAGCCCCCTCGGTGCCGCCTGGACTGGAGAGAAGAGCTGGGCAGAGACCCTGTCCCAGGCTGCTGAGGGCTCTGTCCCTCGGTCACGTGGGGCTGAGGTTAGGGAAAGGCACTGGGCTCTGTTTCCCTAAGATCACTGACTGGGTGGGGGGCCCGTGCAGACCTGTGTCTGGTTATCTGACATCCCATTCATACAGCATGGACTCTTCCCTGCCTGCTCGCTGGCCCCAGCGGGACGCTCCTGCCTCCGGCTGGGGGGAGGCTAGATGCTCCTGGACCTTCATCCTCAGCAGTGTGTCTGTACGACAGCAACAGTGTCCTAGTCTCAGCCCACGGATAGGGGCCCCTCCATGGGAATGCTGCCGCAGGTGCTGTGGGGGGAAGATGTAGGCTGTGTCCTCCCAGGTGGGTGTGACTGGGCGAGGCCACCTTCCCGGCATATCTGGTACCCATTAGGGACTCACAAGAGATTGGCCAAGGAAACAGACTTCCTGGGGTACCATCAGCCTGGGGGAAGCCTTGAATGCAATGGGACCTGCGTACAGCAGGGTAGATTTTGCCCCTTGTTTCTGCTTCCTCCTTGCTGCAATCCAACCCTCCCCAAATGACGCCACCACCCCTCTGTGCTCTGAGGAGCTGGGCGTTGTGTGCTGTCGGTACCAGCCTGTGCGTGCCATCTGGGGGGATGTCCCAGCCCCATCCCGCTGCCGGCGGTTAGGAGCGGTTTCCTCTTGGCTGCAGCTTGTGAGACCATTTCTGGATACTCTTTTCCACCCATTAGGCGGCGATGTCCTGAGTGGGTCCGGGGAGCAGCAGCGCCGGTTATGGGCCAGCATCCTCCAGTGCGCCGTGGCATGGGAGAGACCCGAGAGCGTCGGCCGAGGTGAGCAGCAGTGATGCTGGGAGCCGCGCCGACTCCAGAGCGAAGAGCTGGGAGCAGTGACTCTGTCTGGGATATTGCGGTGGGATGTGGGAAGGGAGCTGCTGAGCCGGAGAGTGCTCTGCTGCCACGCTGAACACCAGACTCGCTCCATTGCACTCACTGCAGCTACTGGGCGTTCACACTCGGCGCACGCCCAGGGCAGAATCCCGGCCCCTCCAGTCAATGGGTGTTTTCATCTCCTCCCCGTACACACAGTTTCCTCCCCACAGGCCTGACGCCCTCAGTCCCTTACAGAACGTCACAGCGCCGCTGTCCAGGGTCAGACACCCCCCAGCGCTGGGTCTGAGGGGAGGCTATTTTTAATACTCAGGTGGTTAAGATTAGGGGAAACTCTTGCTGGATTCACTCCCTAAATCCCCTGACTGGGAGCAGGTGGGCCCCCGGGAAATTCCCTCTGGTCACCCCCTCGCTGACTCTCCCCACACGGGGCAGGTCGGGCTCTTCCCGGCTCTTTTACCCTCAGCGCTTTGCAGCGTTGGTGACGTTCTCCCGGTGGCTGCTGCACTCACCGGATGCTGGGAGATGAGGCACAAATCGCCTGTCGGGGGATGCGGCGCAGGGTGAGGCCTGTGCCCTGGAGATGCCCATTGCCTGGGGCTGGCAGTTCAGAACCGGGAGCTATGGGGCAATGACAAGAGAAAACTCCCTTTCATGAGAACACACTGAGCCAGCGCCTCGCTGGGGTAACTGCATTGCAGTTAATGGAGTTTGGCCCATTGTCTATTCCCCGCTGAAACCGCAGGCCCTTCTCCGCTTCCTGCAGGAGCTGCAGGTGCCTCCTGGGAGAAGTGTCGTGCAAGAAGGGGTGTGGGGGTGCTCGGTCCCAGAATATTAGTGCTTTCTCTTCCCTGAGGGATAATCTCTGGCCTCTCTTTTCACCCAGCAGATGGCAGGGTCAGGAGCAGTTCTGAGGAGCATCCGGATAAAGGGGCTGAGACCGTGGACCCCTACAGGGTGTTACTCCGGGGATCAGAAGAGGGCGCTGTCCTGAGCCCTGAGCTGCAAGGAACCTCCCTGAGCTCGTGTGGGTCTCAGAGACCGGAGAGTGAGCTGGGGGCCTCACGGGGGTGTGACCAGTGCTCCAGCAACTCCCCAAATATGCAGTCAGGGCCTGAGACTGGAGAGGGGCCGAGCCCATGCCCGGTGTGTGCCCCGAGAGCCAATGGGATGCCCCCTCCTGATGCGCAGGAGAGCAGCGTTCCCAAGAAGGAGAAACCCCACAAGTGCCCCGAGTGCGGGAAAGGCTTCCGGAGGAAGTGGGATCTCACCAAGCACCAGAGAACCCACTCGGGGGAGCGCCCCTACCCCTGCACGGACTGCAGCAAGAGCTTCAGCCACGTCTCCAACCTCATCAAGCACCAGCGCATCCACACCGGGGAGCGGCCCTTCGCCTGCAACATCTGCGGGCGCAGCTTCACCCTGAAGCAGGTGCTGGTCCGGCACCAGCGCATCCACACGGGCGAGCGGCCCTTCGCCTGCACCGACTGCGACAAGAGCTTCAAGGACAAGCAGAAGCTGACCATCCACCAGCGCATCCACACCGGCGAGCGGCCCTACGTCTGCGCCGACTGCGGCAAGAGCTTCGGGCAGAGCCAGCGGCTCAAGACGCACCGGCGCATCCACACGGGGGAGAAGCCCTACCTCTGCAGCGACTGCGGCCGGGCCTTCAGCCAGGTCTCCAATCTGTACACGCACTGGCGCACCCACACGGGCGAGCGCCCCTACCCCTGCACCTACTGCGGCAAGAGCTTCAGCCTCAAGCACGACCTGACCAAGCACCAGCGGGTGCACACGGGCGAGCGCCCCTACCCCTGCGCGGACTGCGACAAGAGCTTCAGCCAGAAGCAGGACCTCACCAAGCACCAGCGGGTGCACACGGGCGAGCGCCCCTACCCCTGCGCCCAGTGCGGCAAGAGCTTCAGCAACGTGTCCAACCTCCTTGCCCACCAAAGGACCCACCTGGGGCAGCGGCTCCCAGGGGCCGGCCCGGCCCAGCCTGGCAAGGAATGAACCGCCATGGGGGCGCTGCTGTGAGCCCGTCAGGAAATCGGGGTGGGTGATGAGTCCTGTTCTGCTCCCCTTCCCACAGTGCAAGTCAGGAGCCACTCCATTCCCTTCTGTGCCGGCACAGCCAGTGTCAGCGGATGTGCTAACTGAGGGAGCTGAGCAGAGCGGGGAGCAGGGAAAGGACTAGCAGAGGGTGCTAGATCAAGCCACCCCCGCCGACATGTTGTCTGGCAGCCCCTCCAGGGCTGAGATCCCATTGGTTTCAACAGCACTTACACCAGGGTCTGATCCCCCCCACGACCTCTCAAGCAAGTGTAAGTTACAGAAGAGTCGCATCATAGGCACATTTAACTTATGTGATTTTAACTATATGCGCTTGGCAAAAAAAAAAAAAGAGATAAAAATAACAATTTAAATACTCAAGTATCAGAGGGGTAGCCGTGTTAGTCTGGATCTGTAAAAAGCAACAGAGAGTCCTGTGGCACCTTTAAGACTAACAGACGTATTGGAGCATAAGCTTTTGTGGGTGAATGCCCACTTCGTCGGATGCATGCCCACTTCGTCAGATGCATGTCATGCATCCGACGAAGTGGGCATTCACCCACGAAAGCTTATGCTCCAATACGTCTGTTAGTCCTAAAGGTGTCACAGAACTCTCTGTTGCAATTTAAATACTGTACCTGTAGTGCGGGCGATTCCGCCCGCCATTCCACTCAATGAGCGTTTGACGAGATGCGATTTTCGCCTTACGCGCTGACTTGAGAACCTAACCCCCGCGTAAGATGCGACTCCCCTGTACGTTCTTGTGGCCCAGGGTCTGGCAGCCAGCACTGTGTGTGTTACACTCCATTACCGCTTAGCCCTGCTTCCTGAGATGGGTGACTCTCCCTGCTGACCAGGGCCTCGCCCCGGGTGGAGCTACCTGGCCCAGACAGTGCAGATCACTGCGGTAATAGGGGCTCTAGTCTCGTGTTTCTCAAATGCGGCCACCAGGGGCTTTTCTTGCGGCCACGGCCTCCTGGGCAGTGATGGGGTGGGGAGGGGGACGCAAAGCATTGGCCCCACCTCTGGGGCCGTCAGTAGTGATTGGGCTCTGCCCCCATCTGGAGACACACAAGCTGGAGGAGCAGGCAGCCCGTGAGTTCCTCACCTTCCTGGGGGCAGTGGGGTCGGGCATCAGCCCTTAAGTGGCGGGCTCCAGCCATGGGGCTTCAGTGTGCGGTGGTGGGCTCTGACCCTGAGCTCACCCCCTCCATCACCCTGGCCACCACTGCCTCCCCCGGTGCCCCATCGTCACTGGCCCCCGCTGTCTCCTACCCACTTCCCCATCCAGGGCTTAATTTGTCCCCAGGCTTGCCGGGACTGAGTAAGTCTGCTGGGAAAAGTGATATTTGTACGTTTGTTGTTAGCACTTCTCACAACAGACTTACTCTGTAGCAAGTCTAAAAAAAAGCAACCAAAAATGCAAAAGAAACAACAAGATAAAAGACAAGAACGTGCAGAGCACCTTGTGTTTCTATTCTGTTTAGGTCCAGTAAAGAATAGAGACAACTGTGCGTTATTTTTAATATTGAGTCTGCAAAAAACCCTACATAAATAAATCACAATGACCTGGATGTGTCTCTGTGCATATTGATTTGTTTTTCCTAAAGTTAATTAAGTATTTTAGGAAAAATTGTGAGAGCGGCCGCCAGCGAGAGTTGGTGGCTGCACTCTGAGGCCACCAAAACATTTGTTGTGAGAACCCCTGCGCTAGAAAAGCCGGCACCAGAAAGGACAGGCACCAGACACTGTTACACGGCTCCAACCCTATTGTCTTCATGGGGAGGAACAGCAGCAAACGAGGCAGCCCTAGTGCAGCATCTGGCTGGGGCCTGTTTCTACTTCGTTTTACCTGTGGAAATCCAGAGTGATGTCTTGGCGGTCAGTGGGGTTACTCCATGCTTGGCGCCCTGTGCTGCTCCCGTTCAAGTCTGTCAGAGTTCCACCATTGGCTCCCCGTTCTTTAGTGTGAGAGCAGAACGTGGTCCTAGGGGGCGAGATGTCTGTGGTGCCCCTATTGACTATGTAAATTGTGCCATTTTGGGGTGATCTAGCGCTGGGGAAGAGAGAGTCTGAATAAGGAACAGTCACTCTGTGGTCAGCTGGGTTTCCACCGTGCAGCGTTCTGCTCCCAGGCGAGTATGAGAGCTCCCCGTAAATGTTTAAAATCCGTGAATCCAACCCAAATATCTACAGCCCCCTTCCAAAACTACTCCCGTCGGCCGTTTGTGACTGAGCCCTTAGGTGGGTTGAAATCCCCTCCTTTCCACATGATGAGTTGCCTGGTGGAATCGGTGCTCAGCCAGGAGCCTGTTTTGTGCCACTGATGTCTAGACACAGAGATCTTCCCAAGAGTGAGTGTAATGGTTCTTTCTTACAGTCTAAGGTTGGTGAGAGGCCGTCCGGGTTTAATGTAATTTCCTGCCTCCTGCAACAACAAAAAGTAGAACCCGACAAACTATTTATAACCCACGCTGTAGATCGGGGCAGTCAATAGCCAGACCGCGGGCCAAATCTTGACCTGCGGGTGCTTTTGAATGGACCCCGAAATCTTTTTATTTACAGTAGAACCTCAGAGTTACGAACTGACCGGTGAACCCCACAGTGCATTTGGAACTGGAAGTACTCAATGAGGCAGCAGCAGAGACCCCGCCCCTTTACTCCCCGCAAAAGCAAAGACCGGACAGTCCTGTGTGAAATGTAAACTACTACAAATATAAAGGGAAAGTTTAAAAAAAAAGATTAGGCAAGGTAAGGAAACTATTTCTGTGCTTGTTTCATTTAAATTAAAATGGCTAAAGACAGCATTTTTCTTCTGCATAGTAAAGTTTCAAAGCTGCATTAAGTTAACGTTCAATTGTAAACTTTTGAAGGAACAACCATAACACTTTGTTCAGCGTTACGAACATTTCAGAGTTACGTACAACCTCCATTCCGGAGGTGCTCGTCACTCTGAGCCCTGGTCTACTCTACGAGTTTAGGTTGAATTTAGCAGTGTTAGATCGATTTAACCCTGCATCCGTCCACACAATTAAGCCATTTTTATCGACTTAAAGGGCTCTTAAAATCGATTTCTGTACTCCTCCCTGACGAGGGGATTAGCGCTGAAATCAACATCACCGGGTCGAATTTGGGGTACGGTGGATGCAATTCGACGGTATTAGCCTCCAGGAGCTATCCCAGAGTGCTCCATTGTGACCGCTCTGGACAGCACTTTGAACTCAGATGCACTAGCCAGGTACACCGGAAAAGCCCTGGGAACTTTTGAATTTCATTTCCTGTTTGGCCAGCGTGGCGAACTCAGCAGCACAGGTGACCATGCAGTGCCCCCAGAATGTTTCTACATTCCCCCTATCATCTCCGTCCCTGAGGTTATTGCAGATTAGAAGGTGAAAAAAACGCACTCGTGATGACATGTTTTCTGAGCTCATGCAGTCCTCCCACACTGATAGGGCACAGCGTAATGCATGGAGGCATTCAGTGGCAGAGGCCAGGAAAGAATTGCTGTGTTTGCTTAACGGCAAAAGTATCATGCCTTGCTAGCGGTCCTGCCCGAGCCAGGTCGCTGTGTCAGCCTTGGGTGGGGGCATGACTGCTTTGTGAGCAGGAAGGCCATAGATATAGACATTGCATTAGGTAGCTTCTGTAGCTAGAGAAAACATTCCTGTGCATTTGGCAAAGTCTGTGGCAAAAAAAGAGAAGCCCCGTAGTGTAGTGGTTATCACGTTCACCTAATACGCAAAAGCCCCGTAGTGCAGTGGTTATCACGTTCACCTAACACGTGAAATGTCCCCAGTTCGAAACCAGGCGGAAACAGGTCACTGTTCCTTTTTCTGACTCCCCTCCTGCATTTTTAGTCTTAGAACAGTCCGCGCTGTGAAATTTTACTTTGAATTATATCAATTATGAGTTAAATAATATGGACGCTCTCTCTAAGTTATGGTCCTGAGTTCCTTACCCGTTCAGCTGCTCTGATAAATTAACATTTTTGTTAGGGGAGGGGGAAATTTTCATGAAGCCTTTTATAGGGACTAAATGCTCTCTAGGACTCTGAAATAATCTTAACGCGGCCCATAGAGTGCAATCCTTTGTTCTGGATTTGTCATTCCACAAGTTGAACTGCTCCTTACTGCTTTCCAGACTTCATGAGCCCTGGGAGCAAGGGGTAGGCTGGGGTAGGTGCGACTGCGCGGTGCTGCCGGCTGGGGGAGCAGCCCGAGGCAGAAGCCTCCAGCTCGCGTGATATTCCAGGCAGGACTGAATCTCCATGAGACGAAACTTAAAGAAGAGAATGATCTGGAGTCACTCCCATTCGGTGCTCTAGGAGGAGGATAGCCATGTCTGCCCAGGCACCCTGATCAACCTCACCGAGGTCTGCCAGCTGAGCGGGACCCCGGCTGGTAGGAGCCGGCGGATGGAGCCAGACCGGCAGCGGGCTGAGCCGGCCGCACTCAGCCCACTGCCTGCCTGGGGTTCCGATCATCCAGGCAGGCAGCGGGCTGAGTGGGTCCGGCGGACAGGACCGCCGAAAAAAAGACGCAAAACAATTGTCTGCCGTTGCTGTCACGGGAGGGAGGCCTGATGACATGTACCCAAAACCACCCACAACAAAGTTTTTGCCCCATCAGGCATTGGGAGCTTAACCCAGAATTCCAATGAGCAGCGGAGACTGCGGGGACTGTGGGATAGCTACCCACAGTGCACCGCTCTGTAAGTCGATGTTAGTTGCGGTAGTGAGGACGCACTCCGCCGACTTAATGCTCTTAGTGTGGATATACGCAATAGACTGTATAAAATTGAATTCTAAAAAATCGACTTCTATAAAATTGACCTAATTTCGTAGTGTAGACATACCCTGAGGTTCTACTGTACTTATCGTTGTTGTTGTTGGGTTTTTATTATTTTCTCTGAAGTCTGGACCTTGACTATACCTTGCCCAAGAAATTTGGCCTTTGACAAAAAATAATTGACTACCCCGCCCTAGATTTTATGTAAAGCTCCTTCAGAAGATGTTTGATGCACCACATGTAACTGGATCACACCCTGTGATCCTCAGAGACCCAGCAGTCGCTAATGGAAAGTTTCTCAGTCAAAGAGCTCTCCAGCAATACTTGACCTCTGCCCATATTAGGGATGTAAATAGCGTTTAAAAAAGTAAACATTTAAACCATTAAAATTGTATCGGGTAAATGTTTAATGGTTAACGATTCACAATCTACCCCACATATATATTATCTTTGTCAAGTGTCTGTACTAACAACA